TCCCATGCACACAGGCTGCCTCTGTGGCTCCACTTCCTTTGTTGATAATGCTGCATACCATCAGACACAGGGGCCGATAGTGTGTGTTACTGCTGCACCTATTCATCTCTGCTGGCCAGAGCTCAGACATTAATCTGTGCAGCGCTGCTGGTACTGCTCACCTAATAATCTGATTATTATGCTAAATCTGGGCGATGTGTGTGCCCCTCAGTATTTGAACGCACACACACCACATGACTTTAGCCCCCCCACTAGGTTTCCAGCAGTGATGTCCTCACTGGTGTCTGGGGGAAGCTGGAGCACCGATGTGGGTCATGCACTGTGAGCTAACCTTTTAGAAATCCTCCCTCCCCGACAGCATCTGGCTGCTCTGGTGTCACATTAGCACGGCCTGTGGAGGGTTTCATTGATGGGGGGGCTGCGGCCTGAATGGATAATGAGCTTGGATAGTCTGTGGGTGCCAGGCAGCGTCGGCTGGGTCGATGAAACTGCAGAGGCTGCAGTCTTGAGTTCAGACCTCCTTAGCTCAGATCTGTGCACGTCGCTCAGGTCACTGACTGAGGACTGAATCCTGCGTTTAACCTTCCAAGGATGCTCCCATGAAATATTTATGAGCTCACACTTGATAGTGTGTTAGGCAGAGTTATGTTCACTTCTTCCCACCAGCATTTGTTGGGATATTACACAATAAATCCTCATCCTGCTACTCATTGTAGAGAAAGGCGTGGGTTGAAAACGAGTGAGTTCTGTTCCTTTTCTGCAAAGGAAGCTTGACCAGTAAACAAACTGCAGACGGGACTTTTAGTTATCGTCAAACTTTTTGAGCAGCAGCCCACAGGTTTGCATTAAATACACTGGAATCAGTATCTGGTGTAAAAAAAAAAATAAAAAAAAAGTTCTCCAGCCTCTCGGATAAAATCCAAACATCATTCATCATGTGACGGTAAAGAGAGTCAGCCTATGGACCAGTGAGCAGAGGCAGCCCATGTCCTGCTCATCCATCTTGTGTCAGAGCTCTCATTTGAGCCGGGCTACAGATAAATCATACTGGAGGCAGCCAAAGCCCCGGAGCAGTAAATTAAAGCCCCCTGTGGAAAATCTGTCTGCTCACGTGGGTATCACAGCTGCACTGCTGGAGCAGCCGCACCTTTGTCCTGACAGGACGTCAGAACTCATGTCTGTGTGTGAGTGAGTGTGTGTTCACCAAATAATGCTGCTTCTGTAATGCAGCAAGTTTGGGAATGAATAGAGCACAATTTGAATCTAAACTTAATGAGTTTGGAAGCCAAACATCTGATGGGTTCAGCTTCTCAAATGTTGTTTTCCTTCAAATAACTGTAATTTTCCTCATTGATAACTGCCAATTATTTTCTCAGTTGATCAGTCGATACAGGCAGGTGACTAACTCAAGGGAGAACCAGACAATGAGGTTAGAAACACGAGGACAGTGTCTTTAACCACCGGGCCTGAGGGGTCACTGAACGGTTTCATATGAAAATGATGTGAACCATATTCTACCGTGTTCTCTCAGCCCAGTTGAGCACCTATGGGAGATTTAGGACCAAAGTGTGAGACAGGGCTCTCCAGCTCCATCATCAAAACGCCAAAAGAGGGAATCTGTTGGTCAGAGAATGGTGTTCAACCCTCCACCAGAGCTCAGAGACGCCCAAGAAATGGCCCGTCAAACAATCCTGATGCAGTGTGACATCATTAAAAGTGTTGCTTTGTCCAACTTCAAGGTACAGTGTGTGCATGTTGCAGCTGAACACCCCTCACCTCACCCTCTCCTTCCAAACATGAATGTAAAAAACATGGTGGCCTCCGTAGAGAGGGTCCCCTCGATGTAAATATAAAGTATTTAAATATAAAGGACCTTTTCTGGGGTAAAGAAAAATACAATTCAAACAATTTAGATGAAATGGACTAGTGAAAACATCATGAGGATTATTCTACATTAAATTTCAGCCAATAGATCCCTTTCACCTAAATCTTACACACTGGACCTTTAAGTAACTGATGCAGGACCAAAAAAGTCAACCGATCATCAAGGTTGAGAAGCTGAAGCCATCACTATTACATAACTATTATACTTTATTCTGCATTATAAAGATAAATAGTTGATCAATTTTTGCAAAAACCTGCAGATAAATCTCCTTTTAAATAATTGATCAATTGATTGTTGCGGTCCTTGTTTTGTGTCAGACTGTCTTTAACTATTCTAACTATCAATAATCCTTGTTTTTCCAAGAAGAAATATGCGATTTATCGTGTTTTGAGGTAAATAGTGATCTGTGAATATGAGTTCTGTGAATGAAATTTGATTGGTTGATGCATTTATCCTTGTCTTGCATTAAATTCAACTTATAAACCTACAGGACCGGTTCCAAGATATTGCGATGGCATGTTCTCTTATTCTGCAAATCTTAATAGACAAACTGGTTTGCAGATAAACCGACAATGAAAATGTTAAGTGGCAGAACTGCAGGAAACCTACTGGATGTGAACAAACAATATGAAACGTCTTTTCACTTAATCCTCTCCTGAAAAGAGGTTTGAAGGCTGTGGCCTCAGCTCTCCCATGTTGCACTGCAATTAACAAACAGCTTCACCCTTTCAGTGCAAGAGCCCACTCAGCATCTCCCTCAGATCTATCCTCGGGTGGGGTGGCCGTGCTGCGACCTTGGAAAAACAAGCCACCCACAGGAATGACTGTGTCATCACTGCCGTCGTCCAATCTGGACCACACACACACACGTACACAGTCACACGCACACACTCGGGTGGAGAGTGGGAGTGGAGTGCCAGATCAGTGCTTGCCTGACTGGAGGAGGACCTGTGGGACCAGATGGTCCTTCAGCTCCTGCAGAGAACCCAGGAGTGTGAGACTCCTACAATAACACTTCATGATCCTGTGTGTGTAGAGCAGGTGTGTGTGTGTGTGTGTGTGTGTTTAACATGCTTATATTCTAATCGTCACCTGTTGATAGAAACCTAGAATTGAAAATGCCTTCACGCAGGTTCTAAAAAGGATTATTAACAGTGGTAGCTTTTGTGGCTTTTCTAAAGATTCTAAATATATAAAAATGAAACATTCAACAAATAATTAGAATGATACACATATACATGCAGCAAAACTCAACAGCCCCCTTAAATTCATCCCAGATTTTGAGATATGATTTTGTTGAGAAATTGGAGAAAATGCCAAACAAAACAAAAAAACCAGTGTTAAAGAAAGCAAGAGAGAAAAATTTCTGGATGGAAAAATAAATTGGTTCTTCCCACAACCCAGTCAACATCCTTTCACCAGATTCTGTGTTAACTGCTCACAAACAAAGGGCAGGGTGAAAATATCACCTCCTGCATGGAGGTAATAATGAGGTGGGAAAATAAAAGAAGGGGTAAATACAAGAATAAGGTCAACTCAGTCAAAATATCCTGGATATACTAACCTGTATTGTGTTGCAGTGCCTGTTGATTGTCCTCTGGTGCAAACAGCCTCAGTGATGATCCTGTTTCCAGAGACACGGTGACAAATCATTTTTAAGACAAGAATCACAAAGAGTCCAAAGGATCCCTCGTGTCAGCCTGTTTCACAGTGGAACAGCACAGGAGAAAATAACATAACAATGGTTGAATTCCATTTGGTCTCCTGTTTCTGAGTCATGGGAGGTCCATGCTGGCTCACTGGGCACCATAGACTGATGCGGAAGTGCTCAAAAGTGCAATACCATTGAGGTACAGCAGGGGCTGGCTCCAAAAAATCTCTGGCTCCGTTTAAAAAAATGCCAACTGCTGCCATGAAATGCTAAGTCCTTATTGTTTTCCACGAGTCCGCGGTTTGGGGGCGTGTCTGTTTGACTGACACACAGATGTCATGGAGGACAAAGGCCTGTTTTAACTTTTTACTGGCACGTTTTCCTTCACCGAGGAGGTTATGTTTTTATCTGTTTGTAGGTTTGTTAGTTAGCAGGATTAAGCAAAAAGCATTCAATTGATTGACATTACATGTAGTGAACGGATGGGGAAGAACCAGTTACATTTTAGTGTGGATCTGGATCAAGGGGCAGATCAAGATATTATTTTTATGTTTCAATTTATTCTTTTTAATGTTGAGAGATTGGACGTTTTTCAAAATTTCCATTGATTCCTCAGAGGATAACTCACGGAGTCATGTTTAGGGGACTGATATTTATGAGTGTGTGAGATGTGGTGCAGATTCCACCCAAAAATAATCCAGCCAGTCCAGTGCTATCTTCCAAAGCAGGAAAAATATAAATCTTCAGCACACTGCAGCAAAGAGCACTGAAGAGTTGTTGAGTGTCAAAGATCCAGCAGGTCTCTCCTTCCTCCTCCTCACAACAGCCGACTCTGCATCTCTTTTCTCTTCGTATTCGATACCTCTGTCGTGTCATGAACTATATACGACGGCTTAATTCTGCATTTGATTTACGTCTTTGTTCTCAGGAATGTGGTATCACATCACCAGGAAATAACTCCTCATTGTTCCACATCCATTCCAGTGAGAGAGCAGCTAAAAGTCACGATGAACATCTCGTGCAGTTTTTTTTTCGTTACTATCGGCTGTTCATTACTTCGGGGTGTATGTGCTCCAGTGTGGAATTACAGCCCCTCCAGCAGCCTCCACCATGAAATCCTCTGTCAGGATACTCCATTGAACTGATACCCTTCATCCTTTATCCACACATTGCTTTGGGACTCACTTGACACAGTTTGTCTGACTGGTGTCGTCTTTATTCGGTGAAGTCACTGGAGTGGAAGGGATTGAGTTTGTCCCTGTTCAAGCACAGAGCTCCTACAAAATAAAAGTCCTCTTGCTTACAGGACATCAACAAACATTGAGCCATCATTCTGTTAGGTATTACGATCGTCCATTTACTCCCTCAAACTCGAGTTAACACCCTGCGCTGAGTTTTCCAGTGTAAACCCTTAACACACTGACTTTTTATCAGTGACACAGCAGAATAATTTGAAAGAAAAGGTTAAAAGGTCAAGATTTTTTTTAATAAGAGCAGGAAAGGAAAATGTTTTACACTGTTCCCAGTTTTGCAAAACGTTACAAATGACTTCCTAAGTTGTTGGAGATGCAGGTTCACTTACAGTGAAAGAGAGGAGAAAAGAATCCACTGGAAAAAAGGATATTCACATTTTTTACATTTAAATCAACTTACTCTGTTCCATGTTTCACCAGCTTCAACTGCTCGTACAGTAGACACAATCAGTACAGAAGTTCTAAAGTACAAATACATGAAGGCAAATGAGGGAAACAACTGAATCAGGGACGGAATATCGGATCTATACTTCCTTTTAGCGGACACGTTACAATCGGCGTTTCTCACTGATAAGCCTTTTTCAGACATGACGAGAATTGGCTACTGACTTCACCTGCAGTTTGCCTTTCACACATGCACAATACAGCAGGAGGTTCTCTGCACAGACCCGTTCACGACAGCAACAAATCCTCCTTTCAGGCGAGAGGTGGAGCAGCAGACAGAGACAGGAAGTGACGTATTAACTCCGCTGCAGAGATCACGTGATAATGTTCAAAGCACCTCGACAAACTCTCTTGACATCTTTGTGGTTGTCTTCTACGCTTTTTTGCGTATATCTAACAAGTTAGAGGCCCCCCCACTCGCTCACGGTGAAGCCAACCGGGGGGGTCCCCTGCTGTGTTCTCACACAGACTTTATACTAGGAGGGGCCAGGTGGAGAAAATCAGCAGAGACTGCGGAGCGTCTCACTCGGACATTTTCACTCACACATGCACCTCCTCGGGAGAAAATACAGAGGAACTGAATGTCTGAATGAATGTCTGAAAGCAGCTTAAGAGGGACCTGCTATTAGGATGACTTTATCTTCATAGCAAGGACTTTTTTTCTTTTTTATGCCTCCTATGTCGTGTCCTTGTGAACACAATATCTAAAAAACACCTTGAGAGAATTTCTTCAAATTTGGTAGAAGCGTTCAATTGGACTCATTGATAGACTGATTAGAATTTTTTGGTTGAAGGTCAGAGGCCAAGGTCACTGTGACCCCCACAACACACATATTTGATCTGACACTGAACATCTCCAGTAAATTCTTTCAAATTTGGCACAAATGTTCACTTGGACTAGATTAGATTGGGGGGGGGGGGATGAAATATGTCAGGAACACCTGGAGGGGCTGAAACTGTACAGGGTAGCAGAGGCATTAAACTGCAGGACAGTAATTGTAGTTTTTGCTTTGGTGCTTTTCTGAATACATTATTTTTTACAAAATATTGTAGCTACAGAAGCAAATATGGGAATGTCAGTAAATAATGGCACAGGCAGCAGCTGAGGATGCAGCCAACGTCGTGTGCAAACAGCCGCTCGAGGAGGTCGACAAGAACAGACGAACATTGAGGTAGATGGCTGATGATGAAAAAGTGCAACTGAAAAGACTTTGACTTGTTTTTCCTTCTGAACTCAGAATACATTTAAACACGGGGCTACATTTAACAGTGTAATGAGATGATGGCAGCAGGGTCAACAGGACTCTTTCTGTTTGTTTTCTTCACAAACATGTTACTTCATTTTCCTTTTTAGTGAGTACAGTATTTCAATGCAACGGGTACAAATAAACAGGATTTTTTTTTTTCCATTCCCATAACCGATTATGACTTAACCTGGCTACATTAAAACGTCTACATGGAAAAGAGGAGGTAAAATTCATATATATACACGACATCAGTCCTCAGGTAAGTTTTTTACACTGTACAGGTTCTCAACCAAATACACTTATCAAATGTGTTACATCATCTGGGAGTATTTACAAGTTCACATTTATGAATATTGTGCATTAGTTAGTAACAGCGATCCTGAGATGTATATAACCATCTCGCCCACGACAAGGTTTTCCGGATGGCTTACTCGGTGAAATACAGAATTCCATGATTCAGGGGAGAAATCTGTAGTTCAGCGTTTCATGATTCAGCAAATAGGTAGGCGTCCGGTAGTTTTTCTATATATAAAAAAAGACAAGAATAAAAGACGTGGTAAAATCATCCTCAGATGATTTACGGGGGAAAAATGGCCTGGGCAGATATCCCACCTCTGACCAGTAAAGTGTCGTATCCCTCAACCAGAGAGAGGAAGTTCATATACTTAAAGCACTTTTCAAAACAGAGCACGAGGGAATGAGGGAAACTGCAGAAGTGAAAGTTGGGAGTTCAAGGCGGGATTTATAATATTTTGGTGCCGTGTTGCAGTTTCAGTCTCTCTGCTAATTCTGCTTGTTGCCATACATGAGGGGAATGATGTAGACAGAGATGTCGTCTCCGGAGCCTAATCTGTCGTTGGATATTCTCCAGCCGCGGTCTTTCAGCACGCCGCGTGCTCTCATGATGAGGTCCTGAGCTGCCATCGTGTACCTGGCATAACACAGAGCCATAAATGATTAATGGTGATGCACAGTAAGAAACTGGTTGAATCTGAATATATCTGCCCACAGCCAGTGGAAAACATTCTAAACATTTGAAACTTAGCTCACAGCAGAAGAAGAGTCAGAGCAGCTGTGTTATTAAATCTCAAGCTTTTCCTTGACATCAGAGAAAAGACTAATCTAAATGTTTGGGAATTTGCATAATTGCAACAAGATAACAGTGTTCATCTTGTCCCAATACGACGGAGGGGGGTGAGGGGAAGTTCAGCACTGACTGGCGGCTGCAGCTGTGTGACTGAGTGCTAACTTGCCTGTGCTGGTCGTCGGGGTCGCAGTTTGACAGGAAAGAGGTGACAGCTTCAGCTACTTCCTGGCTGGAGAGGACGTCCCACAGACCGTCAGTCCCGAGCACCAGGACGTCGTCTGCTCCGTGCTCGCACTGTGTCAGTGGGTAAACTCTCACCTGAAGGTGAGAGTTTATCATGATTAGTGAGTGACTACAAACAGCCAATTTCTGAGTGTAATGGCAATCGACACTTTTTTACCCACAATGCAATGCACAGAGGAAGTGGAGGAGTTGTTCACAACTGGAGAAAAAACTTTCAAGAAAATCAGGCTGGTTGCAAAATGGCTCAAAATACAAAAAAATAAGAAGGAATTGGTTGTTAAAACTCGGGTTGGTAATCCTGGAAAAGCTAACAAGTAACTCTAAAACTTCTCGTCGAAAAGCTACGCCCCCCAAAACACATGAACGTGCACTGACAACTCCTACAAGCCAACTTTTTTGCTTTTCAGAGACGTACACCAACAAATCCCCACCTTAAAGGGTTGCTCTCTATTTCTATTTTTTTCTAACTGACTGATGTTGATTATCATCCAGCATCACATGTATTAAATGATTTCCTGTTTACTTAAAAGCTGCAAACCAAAGTCAGAAAGAATTGAAGCCATCAATCCATGAAAGAGTAAGTAGTTCCCAGAAGCCATTTCAAAATAGCAGCGTTCAAAAAAACTCTAGAAGACTAGATGGGTCACGTCCGCAGCATTTGTTTTTTGACCCAGCGCCAACATGTGATCTCTCATGTATGATCAGATGACTCCTAATGTCAGGGTCATGCTTTTTGTTTCTGAGCTTTTTTTTAATTCATGACCTGAGAGCACTCAGTATTTCTAACTTGACATCTCGCAAAAAATGTTTTTTCGTGAACCCTTCAGGGTGAGATATTTTTTTTGTCAATATAAAACTGCATTTAACACACAGCAGGACCTCTGATGCTCAGGTATACATGTCGTTCATATGCTAATAATGTGTTTATATTCAGTGCAAAAATAAAAAAGACTTGATGAAAAAAAAAAAAGTCTTGGGCTTCGTGACCACTGCGACCATGCTGGGAAGGAAAGGGGTCATTTGAGTGTGGCGGCCGGTGGGGAATGTTTACCTGCGCTTTGACCATGCAGTTCTCAGTGTGGACTGTGAATGACCAACGGCATTACACATTGTTACCCATAAGCTCTCATTTTATAAGGCGGTCGAGGTTATGAGGTACAAAAACAAAAAATAAGCATTAGATTTTAACTAACCTTCACCTTTCTGCATTTACTGCAGAAATGCTAAACATGAGGTTCTGTCTCTTCAGTCTAATCTATATCAGCTGTTTCTACATGTGATGGATTTTGAGCAGATGAGCTCGGAGATTGTCTTCAGATCGAGATCCAGTGACTTCACGTAAATGTCCTTCTTATTTGGACAAAAACACACATGGGTACAGAGAAGAGGGGACACAGAATTCTTCACCATAACCCATATCAACAGAATAATAGAAAATGTGTGTTGTATTCATCCTTTGTTTACCCACCTCAGTGAAACAAAAAGGTGAAGAGCCCATGTCTAGAGGACAGATATTTCTCAGTTCAGGTAATTGAACTGTAGGAAACCACACACTCGAGCGGGTTTGAACAATTAGCACATTTAGTACAACCTTGAACACACTTACTTGTGTGTAAAGGAGTGGTTTCATTTCTTTCTGTACACACTGTGAAGGAGAGCATGATGAAGGGTGATCTTGAAACGGAGCTTACCTCAGGGCAGCAGGACAAGAAGGGTTTAATGTAGATGTTGGAGTCGTGCACTTTGAGATTGTGGTCGCCAAGACCTCTTGTGACGCCGATGGTCGCCAACACCCGAGCCTGCACAAGATTGAAAGCATGTAAGACATTACCTCAGCATGAGTCAAATAAACTCAGCTCAGAGTGACAGGTTCAGCCTCTCTAATGGAGGGATTTTTATTTTAATTTAAAAGAAATATTATTTTGGAATCTTTTTAAATGTTATGTTCTAAACAGATAGACAAGAAGGACCCAGATACAGTGGAGGAGTTGAATTATATTTTGAGTTTCTTAAATAAGACTGAAATGACTCAAATGTCTGAAATTTGTGAACGTGGCCTTAGAGCTACTAAACTTTCAGAGGGAGGGAGAAAGAAGCAGTCAGACGCTCAGCCAAGCAAACTGCTCAGGCAGATTATCATTAACCTCTTTGTTTGGAGCAGAGGCGAGTGAGTGCAGCTGAAATGTCTGAAAATCATTGCACAAAAACACAGCGTGCACACTACACCACTACAGCATGAAGGGCATAGTGAAGTATTTTTTCTGTAATGAAATGGATACAAACAGCCTTCTCAGCTGAGTTAAATGATTGTCCGACTGCTCCGACTTCGGCTCCGATTGGCAGCGAATAAATGTGACACCTGGTTAAATGGACTAATTTGGCAAGATGGCAAGGGGAGAGAGCGCTTCAGTTTTCAGTGCGTTCATGACGTCAAACACGAGTCACTGGAGGAAAACGCAAACTCCTCTACTGGCAATGGGAAAGGAGTCAAATGATTTTTTTTTTGGCAGGTTTACCTCTGTTTGAAAAACATGCATAAGCCCACTAATTGTGGTGTAGGACAGGTACTATAAAATAAGATTTTAATCTGCTCAATACAAACATAACGTTTTGTGGAAACATGCCTCATTTATGGAAACATTAGGGATTAATCCAAAACCATCATTTGACCCCAATCTGTGACTGAAGATACATTTTTGAACAAGAGCATATATACTCCTTGTTAATCCCTTTTAGATTCGACCTGCATTACACACCACTAGTGAAATTTCACTGAAGAAGACTGGATGGATGTGGAGCATGCAGGCAGATAAATACAAGCTGTTGTCAGCAATGTCCAGTTCTGTACGTGCCAGACGATGGTTCTCCAAGCCCCAGACGCCATCAGACTATTTTGTAAGCTGTGTGAAAATTCCTTTCGATTTCCTTTGTCTGCACGGATTGTCACTGCAGCCTCTAAAAATGGCTGCTGGCACTAAACTGGGGAACTGGGCTAAATAAATCTACTGTACAGTGTGTGACAAAGAGTGGCACAAAAGGACAGGGAGAGGAGCACGTGGGTGAGTGAGGCCTGGTTACGATTGAGTTTAGATCAGTATGCAGCACAGAGAGGCAGGGAAAAAGGGAGAGTGTGTTTCAAAGTGGCGGCGAAGCTCCTCCGGCAGAGAAGGGGAAACATCCTGGGATTAATTGTTGAGCGCTAGAGCCCAGCAGGCTGCGTGCCGGGCTTTGAAGTGCTCTGGCATTCCTCTCCCTCGCACAAAGCCCCCTCGCTCTATCTAGCCATCCATCTCCGCGACGCACTTCAAAGGGAGAGGACGCGACGTGGGCACGGCAGACCGCGCGGGGTAAACCTGAACGTGGCTGCTGGCAGGGAGCGCTGTGAGGTGACATCTGCCCCAGTCATCAGTCAAACACGGATCTATACTGTCTGTATTATACAGAGAATCTGCAGAAGGCCACAGAGAAAACATACTCAGATCCATCATGTTTCTTCTCCGACCTTTTCAATGCATCAAGGACGAGACGCCGCACACGTACAGCATTGCTGACGGAGAGGAAAATGTCATGAGCCGTGTGCACCGCGCTCTCGACCTTTACGTTTGCATTTCGTGTCAAAACACTGACAAGATTCTCCTGCAAGTCAGTGTTTTGTCGACGTTCTATTCCAATTAACATATGTCACTTTTTGGACCCTTTTCATCCGTCTTGCGTCATATTTTCATCATCTAACATCCAACAGCTGACCCCTCAGTGCTGCGTTTTATCTGCTGGGGGACATAAAAAGCACAAAAGCCATTAGAGAAGAGATACTTTGTGTGCCATAGGTTGGTGCAGGATGTGAATCCCAGTGGAAAGAGAGGCCAGGAACTCTTTTTCCCTGACAGGCTCCTCCACACAGTGATAGTGTTGGGGGGGTTGCTGACTAATGGCGCCCTGGCGAGCGTTGATTACAGACGAGGCGCACAAGGCCGTGGGAATAAGTCTGTCAGTGAGCACTTCTTACCTTCTTCCCTTCGCCGTATATCAGGGGAAACTTGAGGTCATCGTCCTCGATGGTTTTATATGCCCTGCGCAGAGGAGAGAAGACACTTTAATGGGTTTTTGGTTTATGCCAGGCAGTGCACACGTGCCCTGGAGATACATCGACGCCCCGCCCCTCCACAGGCCCTGCTGCCGGGGCGACGAGACAAAGAGTATGCTAGGAGGAAAAAGACAGACAATGAGGAAAAAACTGCACCCAGACATCACACAGAGACTCAGCATAATTCCCTCCTTACTTTTTCTTTCTAACTGATCCTTTAAAAATGTCCCCATTGGCAAAAAGTGTGACATTTATTGATATATGAGACACTCTTGGTTTACCGTTGGTGTCTGTTTCTGTTGTGTGTGTGTGTGTGTGTGCACGTATGCATCTGAATATTCTGGATGCAAAACGTTTGAATGATGCAAGAGTATCCACGTTCACATTCCCCTGATCTCAGAGCAGTGTTTAAACTTCCCCAAATGATGAATAATTTACCATGTTCAGACTTGGACCAGACAGAGCTGCAGCACGAGGAGAAAAAAAAAGAAGCCTGTATAATATGTATGCACGCCAGATCTTATGATAGACTATTCACCTTTACAGCTCCGAACTAATATTGAGTGAGTACAGTCTTTTTTTCATCTGTTTGCACCCAACGGTTTGACTTTGACAAAAGAAGCAGCTGTGTCTGTATACAGCACGAGAAACATCACTGATGTGAGCCAATCCTCACTCGAGGACAAAGTTTTCCATTCACAACTCCCACCAGGTGCTGCGAATATGAAAATCTGGCTTGTTATGAAGTCACAGTCCTGACCTGGGTCGACATTTATAAATGGATTATATTATTTATTTTAGCCTTTAGACTCCAGGAAATGAAGGAAAAAACACGAGATGCTTTTTTAACGTCCTTGGATCATAAGAAATAAAATAAATTGCAGCTATTCAGTCTGAAAAGTTGCTTCAGACAAACCTGATGTGTTATTTTGCAAATATCATGTGACCCAGTGTTGCCCCGCTCACCTTTAGCCAATGCGTTTCAGCTGCTGTGGAGCAGATTAGCAGCGGCCGGGATTGGTTTTTACATTACTGCTGGTTCCACTCAGAGAGACCATATGTTTCCACCTTAGGCGAGCGCTGCTGCTCTCAGCACTTTTTTAACAGTGTGCAGAGCGGAGGACTATCACAGCGAACAAAAGCTACAAACGAGAGAAATACAGTCGAGTGCGGCCCGAGACTCTCCTCTCAGCGAGAAATAAACAAGCTTTTGAAGTGTTTCCTCACTAATGTTGCAATGTTAATGATGTAAGAAAAAAACTCTCTAAAGCAGCAGTTTGATGATGAACTTAAAACGAGTGTTAAGAGACATTAATTAAACTGGGGCAGGTTTTACCTTCTCTATTTACAGAAAGGGAAACACCATTTTTGCTGCCATATCTATCGTTTGAGTGTTTCACCTTCAAGTCTCCAAAAATAAAGGAACACACACTCGTCATTACTTCTGAGAGGTCTCGGATGAAATCCCCTGAGCCTTACATCGGGAACAGCCTCTCTTTCGTGATGTGTGTTTACAGCCAATGCAGCCTGTCACGCCTGCGATAATGAGTGGTGTGACAGAACGAGAAAGACGCACGTTAATCCTGTTCTGATACCTGATCCCTGCACTGGGACACCGAGTCCAACAAAAAACACAAGCGAGGAGAGAGCTGCTCAAGGGGCCGCGCTGTTTGACCATAATATTACTGCTTTCATATCCAAGGGCTGTTTGGTCACGTTGCAGCGTCCGACTGACTCAGAGAGAGAGAGCGAATGGGGGAGGGGAGAGGAGGAAAAGGGTTGCAGGGAAGGAGGAGGGGGGGCGGTTGGATCATCCTCTCTGCAGGTGACGAGCGACAGGCCAGAGAGGAGAGGGGTGATGTCATTTCAGCTCAGTGCAAAGAGGGGGGTTAAAGAGAAATGTGAGCAGTGTGTGCTGAGTATGATCGTCATGTGCACACACACAAGCATAGAAACAGGGACGCATTCACTACAGCTGCTTTCAGACAAGCACTGAAGTCCAGACATTTTCCTGGAGTTTTTACGGAGAGGCTGTTTGTGAGAACACAAATATCGAAGTCAGTTGCGCAGGATGCTTTTCCAGAGAGTAAAATGTTTGAGTGAAGGCTGGTTTATAGTCGCTGTAGTGTGAGGGTGCACGGGCCAAAAAGGACATCGTGGCGTGTTTTGCCTTGAGTGCAAGGGCTCCAAAACTGGTTGCAGCACTTGGTCGCCCAGAATATTTGCACCTGCGATTTCCACATGCACGCCTTCGAGCGGAAGACTGGCCAAGTGGATTTGCCTTCATAAGAATCCCTACAACTCGTCCTGCAGAGACTACAGAGACAATATAATGGTGTTGGATTCTTGGAAAGAGATTGCCCCTTCACTAGGGTTGGGTACCGAAATCCTGTGACAGCCAGGCACCGGCTCCTACAAGGCCGGACTCAATCAAAACACAGATTCCGGTACATTATTTTGGTGCCTGCTATTTGCTCTGCTTACAGGCAACATAAACATCCCACCATGTGCCTTATTAACATATGGTGGCAACAAACTCTGTAAATGGCTCTGGCAGCAAGTGTTAGTCTAGAGTTAGATAGTAGCTACAAAAACAACACTAGAACATAATGTCTAAAACTGAACGTTCAACAGTTGGGCTGTGTTTAATACAAAGATATCTAGCTGCTCACCTGAGCTGCAGCATCTGCCTTAGCAGAAAAAATGGCATCTTTTATGATAGACTGTTGTTTTGTGGAGGTTGTGGTACCATTCAGGCACGAGGAGAAAACCCAAACGATATCCATCCCTTCACTTCACTTGAGTGTGGATGAACATGAGAGGTCGCTTGGTTAAAACCATTTATTTCTGGAAAGAGTGGCGACCCAGGGAGAAACAAAGCAGCCACGCCGATTCCAGTGAAGCTGGGATGGCTGCAGCCTTCTTAACCTCATTTCCTGTGTCTCTATCCAAGGACTAATTTCTTTGTATGCCCACTACAGCAGTAAACACCTCTGTGCATGCTTGTAGTTAGCACCATCTATGGAGGTCACGGTGTCTCGTGAGAATACAGCAGGAAAATGTCCAAAATGACGTCTCTAACACGTTTTCTTTGAGACGTTTGTGTCTGAATACAGCTGAACACAACAGACACTCTCACCTGTTGACAGGCTTTGAGAAGGACGTGGTGTCAGGAACGAATGAGTAAGAGAAATTGCCGCAGGTGATGGCTGCGTACCAATAAACATTTTGCACGACCTTGATGGGCCTTTCATAGAGTAACTGGTGCTTTCAGGGGCAGAGAAAGGCCTGGATTAATGGAAGTGACCCACTGACTCTCCACATGAAATGTAAACTGTGGGCATCAGTCATGCTGCTACCAAGGCATGGTGGATAAAGAAAGGGGGGAGAAGGAGAAAGCAAGACAGGAAAAGGCAGAGAGGGGGTGTAAACGTATGACAGTGATGAAGGTGTGTGTTAGTCTCCCTCCTCTCTCATGTATTGTCTATAGAATCAGGGGGAGGACAGACACTCCAGTGGGCGCAGGCATCAAATAGACACAACTCGTTCATCGCCATTTCTCACTTCCCTTCACTGTGGCCAACACGCCATCTTCTTTTTATTTCCTACTATCTTTACATCTCACCAACCGTTGTCTTTCTTGTTGTTTCCTCCCTTCCTTTATCTCTATTTCTATATATTTGCAGCTTACCTCAATTTACTTACATTTCCCTCTGTCCTTGAAGCAATTTCCTTCTCATCTGTTCTTTTTCTTCCTCCCTCCCTATCTCCCTATCTCTCTCTCTCTCTCTCTGTACTCTCCAGCACCTCCTTGCACATCTTCCCTCCTCCTGGCTGGGCTGTGTTGCTATGGCATTTGGATTGTGTCGTACACGGCTGACTGCTCCACATCTATCACTCCTGGACGGCTCGCAAACAACAACAAAAAAAATTGCCCTCCACACTTGACAACAACAACCATTACTGTTTGCTACACCAAAGCCGAAGCTCGCACTGTGGCCCAACTGGCAGAGAGAGAGGAGGTAAAGAATGCGAGGGAGGGAGAGAGAAAGAAGTGGGCTACAGGCCTGTATGCCGTCATTAGAGCGCGGCCTTGATCATGGATGCTGGATAACGCCCACACACACGCAGCATGTGGGCACACAGGGTACAGACGAGCATGAACATCCACTGACAGACAGCTGCAGATACATAAAAACATGATCATCTCTACCTATAGACTCTGTAGTCCTATAGCTGCTCCTCAGATGCTATATAGAGCATCTGAGGAGCAGCTATATGACGACATGTCATATAGCTGCTAAAGTAAAGCTGTAAAGTCACACCCACGCACATCAGAGTGATCATCCACACCAACTGACAGGGCACTAATTTCATGGCACTAATTTCATGGCTCAGACTTAAGCCCAGGTGAGACTGAAACTGAACGGGGTTATCAGTAGAACCTGATTAAAAATACATCACAGGCCGTTTGCTCTGCCGAGACAGTAAAGCAGTCGGGTGACTGGTGGCGTGTTCTGAGGAAGTGAGGAAGGAAGCCACCGACTGACCTACATCAGCTCAACCGAGCAGCGCCGCAAAACACCCAGAGGGAGGTAGAAACACACTGTTCATCTGTCCTCAGTCACCTGCTCTGTCCTCAGGTTGCTCTCAACAACTTTCCTTCTTCCTCTTCCTCTTCCTCTCTATAGCTTCATGCAAGTGGTGGATGTAAATTAAGCCCATTCATGAAAAATGAAAAAAATAAAATAAAAGTACAGTTTTGAGGTACTTCTAGTAGTTATATATATTCTATTTTCTTTTCACCTACACACACTTATCTGTCCCAGTAAGAAATGTTGTAGCACAAGGACTCACAAACTAAAAAAGAGATCATATGTCTCCAATATGAAATCACTTCACTCTCTAAAGACTCTCTTGTGGTTCCTGGAGTCTGTAAGAGTAGAACAGGAGGTAGAGCCTTCTGACACCAGGCTCCTGTGGAACCAGCTCCCACTCTGCGTTCGGGAGGCAGACACCATCTCTACAGTAAGTAAGACTTAAAACCTCTTTGATAAGCCCTGAACCTTTCCTTGCTTATGCTACTATATGCCTAGACTGCAGGGGGAACTCCCATCATGCACTGAGCACTTCACTTTCTCTGACTCCAGAGCTGCAGGGTCCAGATCTGCCTACTTCTCAGTTATTATTATGAGTTAATGCAGATATCATAGTGTTCGATAGATAACACTGCTACACCGATAGCTTCAGCTATTGTTGCTGTCCTTACAGCAGCTTGTCTGACTGAGTTATAATACAGCTGTGTGTGCAGCTATTCCTGGTCTTACGACTCTCTGCCATTTCTTTTCTTCCAACCAAAGGCAAGATGGACGCGGGAGTTCTGTAGAGGTTTCTTCCTCTCTCCCCATTCCCCAGGTTTTGTGGAAACTGTTGGGGTTCTCTATAGGACTATAAGTTCTTGGACTTACTCCAGAAGGTGCCTCGAGATAATGTGTCATAATTTGCACCACACAAATAAAAGGTAAGTGAATTGAATCTGACAGCTGTAATCACGACCCATCCATCCATCCATCCATCCATTCACCCGGCTTATCCTGACACTGGCTATAGTCTCTTGTTGCACAGCAAGATTCCACATTCAAAACATATGATCAACATAGAAGATAACATGATATGATGATATGAGATATTGCTCAAGAATTATCTCCACTTTATCAGCTACTACATGGACATTTCGGCTCAAATACACCTAATGTGACTTGATTAGCTGTGTAGCCAGGATTGTTTTACAGAATCTAACCATTCTCTGTCTACAAGGAACAATGAGGCTGTTCGTGTAATCACTCTGTCCGTTTTTATCTCTTCGATGATCGAGTCACCTTCTCTCCCTTCTCCTCTCTTATTCTCACGTTCCTGACTTTATGTATTCTCCCTTTTCTTCCTTCCTTATTCCCACACGATCCTCCTCTGTCTCTTTGACCTCTTTTTTTTAAACTCTCTCTCCACAGTACGATAAATAGTTGGGTCCTGTGCGGTGCCCACAGATTCCTAATAGCATTCTTCTCACACACAAGCAGAAATGTCAGGCCCATTCCCTGGCCTCCGTCTGACACTGAAGCATTTGAATGACTTTTTCCATCAAGTGGGTTTTCACACTGGCTGCATTATGTGTTGCTCAGATATAAACACTAAGGACGTTATGTTTTCACCCCAGCCCATTTGTTTGTTGGTTGTTTTTTTTTTATTTGTGAGCAAGAGCACAAACTTCAAGGACAGATTTCCATTAAACTTGGTGAAAGGATGCAGTATGGGTCATTGAAGAACCCATTACATTTTGTTGCATATCCAGGAATTTATTTTCACATTCTTCAACATTGTGAGATTCAATATTGAGAGTGCTTTTCACCATCTCTCAGAGAATACTTTCTTGATAAAAAAATGTTTAAGGAACTGATATTTGTGGAGTGTGTGAAATTTGGTGTAGATCCAAATAAAAATCCAGGTCTAGTGAATTTGAATGTGTTTTTTTAGGGGACTGTTGGGCCTTGGTGGAGGTATGAACTGCCCTGAGTGTTATTCTAGTTAACATGTGTTTGGAGTTAAATAATGGAACAGGAAGGCACACAATACAGCAATACATTGGTATTCTCACAGTTAGCATGCTCTGTCGCCTGTGCATTTTAAATTAAGGGGTAAAATTTACAACTCACCATCCCGACATGGTGAAGTCACGGTACAACATCCTCTTGCCAACCTCTTTTCTTTGCACTCTCCTGGGGAATTCCAGATGTGTAAACTCGTTCCCTAATAAGTGGGGCTGCATGTACGCCTTTGATATGAAAAGAAAAAAATTAGATTGACATGCCTAAGGGATAGGAAAAACAATTCCACTGACTATTAAGCTTGCAAAGAGAGCAGGCAGTGTAAAAGAGACAGAGAGCAAAGCATGGCTGGTGTCTCAACAGGAGGGGAGGTCAGCGCTGCTAATATCTGACAGCTGTGCTCTCAGAGGAAACGTGCAGAGAAGGGATTTTTTCTGACCAGGAACTGGAGTCGCTGTCTCTCTGACTCGGGTGTGAACTCTGCCGACATGGGGATGACTTCCCCGGCTCGGATGATGATCGCTCTGAGGGTGAGGAGCAGACAGAACAAACCTCTGTTACTTTAAGCTGGGACACAGTTGCTCCTGCTGGCTGCGGGCAGGAGAAGTTGAGCAGGAGTGAAAAAAGGCTTAGATGGATGGATGGATGGAAATCGTGATACTAGTGTGCAAAGAATAGTGGTGATAGCGTACTGATGGAATGGCGATGTTCATAGTTATAATAATTTTCATAATTATTACAATGTTCATAACGATAATAAAAATAATAGTGTACCTGCTTCATACTAATAATAATGTGCAGTGATAGTATTTATGACTAATCTACATACACACACACACACACACACACACACACAGAGACAGATATAGTATATGGATATGATATATAGTATCAATATGGTGTATCCTACCATAATAGTGTATACTATCAGTAGGTATACATACGTACACTATACATACACTCATTAAGTGTGTGTGTGTGTGTGTGAGGGTGTTTCTCACCTGCTGTCCCCAGCGTTCCCAACGAAGAGCTTCCCAAGTACGTACACGACCACCAGAGCAGTGCAGCCACCTGAGATGTTGTAGACGGCCTTCTCCTTTTCAATCTGTACATCCTAAACAAACACACGTATTCCTTTTAATGGGGACACATCATACACACATCCTCTGGAAATAATCATGTGTCTAAACAACACAGCCAATGATATGTTTTTGTTTCTTTATTCAAGAGTCTGGTCTTTCAGTTTGAGAGCAGGACTTATCGATTTCACATTCAGATTTTGAAATGCACTCAAAGCTCAGCTGCTCCTGGATAACCAGAGGTGATCGAGCCTTTGCAGGAGCCACCCCAAGCTTGTGGAACAGCTCACCACTCCATAATAAATCTGCCCCCTCTTCTCTGCCTTCTTTTTGAGTTGAGAACATTAAAATCCAAGCAGATTTGATTATCTTTAGTATTACAATATATTGCGTATTGCTGTTTTCTTGTTTTACCTTTAACTATGTCAACCAAGTTGTTTTAAATGTGCTTTATAAGTTGACATTGACATTAATAATAACAGTCATCTGGATCCTGCAGCTAATACAGAGACACCAGCACAAGAGCGGGAACATTTAATTTGTCTTCACTCGACCTGGCATTCTATTGGTTGGGGAAATTTGACAGACAGAGGAGAGGACATGCAAACATAAACTGCATGAGCACGAGAAGAAGAGCTCAACCTGAAGCACAAGAAATCAGTCCAAGTATACAAAATATCTGAGTGCAAGCTAATAGTTTGAGCACAAGCAGAGTAAATCTAAGCACAAGCAGGGGCTATTTAAGTGAGAGTGTAGGGTTTTGAGTGAAAGCATTGCAAAGTTTCACCGTAAAATCATTAAGTCCTGGTCTCAAACTGAAAGACCACGGCTCTAAAAAAATGTTTTCCCATCACGCAGCGACACATAGCATTTCAGTAAGAACCTGATACGGAGTAAAATATTGCCCTGCTACTTAAAACCTGCCATGATGCCATTATTAATTAAAGCAACATAATGAATTCATTTATCAAGAGTGCCAAGGAGCAATAAAACAAAAAGGAAACCAAAGGGATAGAAGAGAAAGTTTGGAAAGACTGCTGGTTATTACACCAGTTAATTAGCCCAGATTAATTTGGTGCTAATTAAACCTAAAGAGTGATCTGAAGAAGAAAAAAACCCATGCTATTAATTCATTAATTAGATGAATAATTAACCTGTCAGTGAATTAATCAAAATCCTCACATAAATTTGAATCTAGCTCCTCTCACTGCTTGCTTTAACCTCTCCCCTCTCTCTCTCTGTCTCTCTGGCTGTTGTTGCTCTGCTTTTAATTGCAGAACAGAAGAAGGAAGTTATACCAGGAAAATGGATGCCCCCTACGGTTTCTTCCTTCACATCCCTCCATCACTATCAACAGAGGGAATGGTGTGAAAAATGGGTTAGTCCATCCATGAGATGTTTCCCCATGATGGATGCGACTGAAGCACATCGCCTTCTGCTCTGTTGCTGATGACCTCCATCTAATTACAACTCTCTAAAGTTGTGTGTGTTTACAGCAAGTACAGTATATGCATGTGTTTATATCTCACCGGGAACAAATGAGGACTGTAGAGTAGGTGTCCAATGTGTATGTGAATCTGACTGCATGAGTGTACAAATAGTTCTGCTTCTATGCATGTGTGTGTGTGTGCTTTTGTATGAGTCTGAAAGTCTGTGTGTGTGTGTGTGTGTGTGTGTATGCACATACTCAAATGTTTCAGCTGTCTGCTTGAAGAAGCAACACATTTCTCAGGAGTGAGAGGGCATGGAGGATGGATACACGTGTACGTGTGTGTGTGTGTGTGTGTGTGTGTGTGTGTGTGTGTGTGTGTGTGAGTCGAGTGGGAGGGAGGTGAACAAATGTGTCCTTCGCACAGGATGAATTATGAATCCATAGTGAGCCATACATATTTATCCTCACAGTAACTCTTGCTGCAGGCACAAGTCTTTAATAATGAAAATGTCTGCATAAACATCTACACCTTTGTTCTCTCCACTTCCGCCAGGAAGCATCCAAGACTGAGGTAAATAAGAGACAGAGAGACAGAGACCGCACTCCTCAGACACACTGGTCTCATTCTACTTAGCTGACATGTCGAATGCTTTCCCACATCGTATCATCACATCGGCCATTACAAATCAATTGACTTTAAATAGAGTAATCATCTTGTTGAAGTCATAATATCTGATTGCTATTATTTGATGGACAGGCAATTATTTTCTAAAGTTTAAATTGTTTATGATCTTGAAATAATGAATCAAGGTAAAAATTTGAAGCTTAGAAATACCTCTAAATAATGATGGCAGGTTCTAATCCTGCCTCTGACTAGGTCATCCATGTGTGTATAATTAAGGAGGGATGAAAACCTGATACCTTTGTTGAAACTCAACCATGGAGAATATTTTGTTATTTTTGGCTCAATAAATCTCAGCTATTATATTGAGGGGAAGCATCTTCCTGAGTATTTTTTAACATTCAATCACAACGAGTAAAGGAGTCGCTGTAACACATCCAGCTCATAAAACTTAATAAAACAACTCATTTGCCGCTCTAGCAACAAGGATATAATATACTGAGGGACACACTAAAGTACAGCATAGACATGCAAAAAAGTGTAATTATGCAGTACACGCCCACACATCTCACTCAACCAAACTACACTAACTATATGTTAATGCAGTGAAAGTTTTATTTCTCAACTGAACTATAACTATTATAGAAATACAGTTTTATTTATTTGAGCTTCTTCCTAAATGATAAAGTTATGTGTTAGAAACACATAATATAAAGATGGAGGATATGACGACACCCGAGAATGAAGCCAAAACATTTGGTATATTGGCAATTGACCACATTATAATGTGAAATGAAATGATTGTCTGTGAGACTGACTCGTGATTAGTGGAGTGTGTGTACTGGGGGAATCTCAATACTGCAGCTCCATCAACCAATCGATACGGCTCAGTCTCTAACTCCAAATGACGTTGTCGAGCGTTCTTATCTACAATATTTTGGCTTCATTTCTGAATAGTAGCTGACATGTTGTCCATCTAAATACTGCGTATATGTTTGGTAGTGTGAGAATGAGTAATCATACACGATTATATATGACGTTAACATTAAATTAGAATTTTAAGCCACTAAACACCAACACACCTCACACTAAAATAGTGGAAACATTTGTGAAAAAACTAAAGTGTAATTTGGAAAAGCTGCCTATTTGCTTTCAGTCAGAGTGAGAGAAAACCCTTTCAGGTCTGTCATAGCAGCCAGGAGGCCATTACCTTAGCTTAGCATCACTGGAAGTATCAGATATCCTAATGCTCAGCAAAAACAAAAAAGGATTGATATTCTCATGAATGTAAATGGGAAACTACTGTATATCCAGTGGCTGGTCATCTAAGTTAGCACAAAGCCAGAGTTAGCACAATCAGGGAGACATTTAACCTGGCTTTGTCCAAAAATAACACTATAACACTTAAATGACATCACCTTTGAGTCTATTTAATCCAATACACAAACTGAAATACAGAGAAAACATTTTTTTACAGAGGGTTATGTATTTTTTGGCGACTAACACTATGTTCCTGGAGTCTGCTCTGTGTGCTGTGAAACCACACTGTGAGCAGTTTGCTATTTTTACACTTTTATACACATTATTTAATTTATATAGCATGGTAAATATTGAGCTTCATAGGCCTGGCACACTCACTGTTTCCCTCAACCTAATCACACACAGGGGCGACATGTGCTGCACTGAGCAGACCGCTGATCTCATCTTATTTCCCTCCTGGCCCAACAAACCCTCAGAGTGATAAGACTCTGTCTCTGAGCTGCACGTTGTTTTACTCTTTTTAATGTTTATCCCTGAGTGTTTATCAGGCCGGAGCAGCCACTCCACACAAACCGGCCACTTTCACAGGAATGCAGCGAGTCGTGTCAGCGGAGGATTAAAGGTGGATCCCTCTGACAAGATGCTGCAGCCTCGGTGAACTCGGCCTGAGACAGAGAATTTGAGAGACACACTTTTCCAAGATTCTCTGACATCTCCCTTCTTAAAAAATAAATAACACAAGGGGCTTGTGGTGATGTTAGTGTCGACTGGTAAACTGGAAAACTCTTGATCCTCTTTTGAATCTCTCTTACGGACACATTTTTATTGGTGTGCGTTCTCCTCCCTCAAATTGCTTTAATTGTTTCCTAATGGTACATTCCTACATTCCTGAATGTTTTCATTTGTAACTTGCAACACCTTGTATCTGTGTTTTGAAATGTTAGACACTCAGAAAAGCTGAAGTGAATCTTTTGTTCTAAGCAGCAAAAATGGGTGTTATTTTAACCTGACTGTATTCCAGTTTTCTCAAATGACTTAATGACAGAGAATAGGTGCTAATATTAAAGCCTTTAGATGAAAAATGCTGTAACCACATGGAGAAACTAGGTATAACACTGAACATTAGCTGTAAGGTTAGAGGTATGACAGTCAAAGATGCTGTGACTAAAGCTGCAAAGATTGAAATTTCCCTATAAGAAAGAGAGGAGTCACTGGGTGAAAAGTGCAGATTATAAAGAGCTGGAGAGCCAAATGAGAGGAGAGAGGAGGAGAGGAGAGGAGAGGAGGGAAACGTAGATTTCTGCACACTGCTTGGAGTCTTGTGCAACGGAGACAGACAAAGAGAGCAAAAGAAAGACAAGTCATTGCACTGTGCAGGTAGATTATGCACTGTGGGTAAGAAGTGGGCCGTAATAGTAATATTCTATGATCTGAATCCTCTGCAAAATCTGGATTTCCACCATGCTATTTTAACAAATGTAACTGTTCGGCAGTAGTTCTATTATTATCTATTATTAAGTATTTAAATAAACACAATCCTCATGACTCTGTGGAACAAACTGATCATTGACCCAAAATCCACAATAGATCATTTATTGAATTATCCACAGACTATTTATCCCTTTTTATGGCCAATGCAGCTTTGTACAAATAGTTAACTGAACACTTCCACCTAGTGGTTAAAAGGTGGAAGCACCAGGACTCAGAGAACAAATGTTAGCTTTTAGCAAAGAGTTTGTGATGTGGACACATGGGGGAAGAATCACTGGAAGATGATTGAGAGCGTCTGTTTGAAATCATTTACAAAGCCAGACACGTTTACAGTAGCAAGACAATGTAGAATAGATACTTAATTGATTTTATTCCTTTTTTTAGTATTCAACTGAAAGAAAATAAATGAGCAACGTTTTCCTTTGGAGCAAATTTAATCTCTGTAGCAGTTGTTATTCTGTCATAACCCAGACAAGGGCGAACACAGCAGGGACTGTTGATGGAAAACCCTGATGATGAAACTGAGGCCAGTGACCTTTGACCTGTCCCCCTCAAAGACTGTCAGGCAAGTCCACACTGTTTTGATTGGCTCTGGTCTTGATCTTTTGGCCTCTGCATGAGTTAAGTCTCCTTCATCCACTTACAGCACAGCCAGATGGTGAGTGTGTGTGTGTGTGTGTGTGTGTGGAATAAGTAGAGTGCACCAGTTCCCCTGGCTGTTTGCTGGCTGGCTGACTTACCGACACTCCATGCTGTTTAAGAGGAACAGTCATACATTATGAATGTGCAGAGGGTGGAGTGTGAGAGAACGTGTGTATCTGTCCTCAGAGTGTTTGTACAGTTGAATGTGTGTGACCACACCTCACCATCAGGCACCTCATCACCTTCGGCCTCTGGGCTGCCAGAGGAGGGTGACACCCCAGATGAGTTCACAAATCAACTAACAGCATCACAGCAAATAAAATATCTAATGCAGCCAAATCCTTATGCATACAACACTAATGTTAGCTTGATAGCTGTATACACAACTAGAAGTGCATGTCACCTCTGCCAAGAGCCAACAAACCACATTCACATTCACTAGGTCTGTATTTTTCAACAGTACTAAAAACCTAACCTTCTAGCAGAGTAGTGAAATGCAATGCCATGATAATAACAGGTAAGGACATGGTGATGATGATGATTACTACATGTGCATGTTGTGTACTTTAAGTATTCTGCATGCATAGATCTACTTTAACACGTTTCATATGATAACAAATTGGAAACTGGGATGTCTATGTGCATTTAGTCTGACCTTCTAATTAAAGTGAATCAATAGAAATTGACTTAGGAAGCAATTAGTTTAATGGATGTTAAGTAAAACCGATGATCCTTGTGTGCACAGTTACTGATCAATATTTAAATGGAAAGTTAATCCTTTAAAGAGTCAGTTATAAAAGTTCATCTTGAAAATTCTGTAACGCTGTGTGTGTAAGGAAACTCATTTGGATTGTAGATTGGATTAGAGTGCAAAGAAATTGCCCTTTTCTTATTTCTTTTCCTGCAACAATCTTTTTAGTGAAGGACATGACTATCCTGCAAATACATTCAAAATGTCCAAAGGTGGATGCATAGTGTAAAAAGACCAGTCCAGGGAATATTGTGTGACACAGTTTGGCATGTAAACTGATCATAAGTAGAAATGTTTGCTTTCAACATGAATGACTTTCAAATGATTTCATTTGAAAATGTTAAAGCGGACAATAAACATCTAGAAAATTAAGGCAAATATTACAACCAATATAAGGGAAATACATTTGTGAAAACTTAATATATCTTATCCATCTGTTATGTGTTGACCCTATGTGAGACCTGAAGCCAATCCAAGTTGACATAGAGCAAGAGGCAGGATACACCCTGGGCAGGTCGCCACATCTATACTGTCAATTATACTATATAAATACAACCATTTACATGCAAACTTCAAACAGAAAGACCCCAGGTGACCTGGGATTCAAACAGGGAGGCGGTCGCTGTGAGGAAACTACAACCTGCACCAACATGCTGCCATAATTTCTGACTGTGGAGGTGAAGGGGCGGAGAGAGCACCTTCACCTGCACCACAGAGGATCAATCAGCACAGGTGAGAGCTGTTAGCTGATTGATCCTCAGACTTTAAAAGGAGGCAGCAGAGCTGCCTCGGGAGGAACGCACTAGAGACTCAAAGGAAGAACACTCGGGGGAAGAACGCTCTGAGACACACGGGGAAAGAGAAGGACACTGGGAGAGAGACTGAAGCTAAAGGTCCAGCAGAAAGTGCTGGACCATTTAAGTTCCATGTTGTATAAGGTTCAGTTTCATGTTAATAAAAGATGTTGAAGAGCACGGAATGGTTGGACTGGTTTGTCTCTGGCTGTCGTGAGGGGAACCCCGTGGCGTGGTCGAATGCCACACTGACCTTAGTACAGAGCAGTTCTGTCTGTTAGATGTTTTTAAGATCGTCTGTCGTTGAATCATCTATTTTCTTAGCAGTACCCGTGAAAATGTTTTTTATACTCTGTAATTTGAATGGAGCGAGTAGTATTTTAATTGCACACTGGGGAGTTTATAGAAGATCTTATCAAAGTGACAATTTTCATATTTCTCCTTTATACCAAGAACACATCTCTTACCATGTCTTTGAAGGCATTCTCAATGGCTCCGATCACCAGGCTCTCGTGCAAAACTTTCTTCTCCGTGAAGAAGCGTGTAGGTGGGGTGCTGGGTGAACCCGGAGCCCCCGCGGCGCCCCGGAGAGACGCAGCCCTGGTGAGGGCGCGTTGGGATGTCGGGGTGAGATGGTGATTGATGGGCTCCTCGCCCAGGCATGTGGGTGGCAGCAGGTTCGGAGTGCAGAGGATCTCCATCACCTCCTGAAGGTGCAGGGCGATGTGGTGATGGAGACGACGGGAGGCCATGACAGCTGCCCCAGAGCCGGCGTGGCCGTCGAACAACGCCCAGTAGTGGAAGGTTAGGTCTTCAGAGCCGTCCTGGATACGGATATCAGATACAGAGTCCAGCACAGTGTCAGTATCAGATGAGTCAACATTTTCATTTATGAGCTGTTTTATCGGACAATATCCGGAAGTGGAGTTCGTCAGATAAGAAGATTGTCCGTAGCTCAACTTTCCGTGGTCATGAGCAGTGTTTGCAGTTTCCTTGGTTCAAATATAGATTGGTTTCTCAACGGTTATTAAGAAGTTGATTTCGGCAGGTTAATTATTCCAGTGTCTGATCAGAATTCAAAATAAATACCTAGAAAACAGCCTCATCTATAACTGGAACTCATGATAGTTATAATTATTTAGGATAATTACATTTAATGACTTATCATCCATCATTATAAAAGTCTGAATGTAGGGCAATTCAAAACACCCAATTATCTTCATCTGCATTTATTATGAACAGCCGACCTGGAAACTTGGCTACCAAGCAGAAAAAGGAAATGAAAACAAAATCATCTCATTCCCATTTGAGAACTGATGCCATAGGTGTTCAGTGAAAATGCTCCCAGGGGCCTGCAGCTGTCATTTCAATGACAACTTCTGATCTGAGTGTATACTTCCTCTTGGTGGTGCAAGAGGTCCATGAATGGATGAACTCATTCTGTTTCCTCTGGCATCAACGCTTCAATCTACAGGCTTTAATAGATCTGACATGTATGTTCCTGAAGTAGACACTGTCCAGTGCGTCCATCTACAAAAAGGCCTCCTCCCACATAACGTCATACATAAAGTCCCCTGTGATGTGGTTCATTCGTCACACACCTTTGAGCCCTCAAATAGTGCCGCACCTGTCTGATCCTCGCCCTCCTGCAACCAGTGATCATGCTTTTATTCTTAGGATACTAATAACTCTTGTCAATCAAGTCCTGTACATGAAGATGCTTGGAAACATACAGTCTGTAAGGGAGGGGCTGAAATCAGCAGGGACAGGGTTCACACAGTAAAGTTTACTGGTCACTGAGTGTGGATCATTGCTTGCACATATTTTTGCACAAGGTAAGGCTCTGATTTTCTAAATATAGCACATGCTGGCGTTGCGACGTGAAGCAAAGAGCACTAGAAACAGCTCTACACTACTCTTATGGGTCTAGTATCACTGCAGCAGTGAGTCATGAGGTACTTGCATGGGTTTTCTGCAGGCTCTCGGTAAGGCTTGGTGAAGTACCGGTGGGCTGAGAGTAAATATTAGTAGCAGTGTTACTTTATATAGATATGACATAATGAATATGATGAGGAAACATAAGTCACAGTGCACTTGTTAAACAATAAGACAAAGTAAAACACACATCAGTATCTTATGTTTTTGTGGTTGTTCTCCAAGACAAACAGAAGTGGCTTTACATTTTATAATCATGTAGGTTTCCTTTATACATGACATTGTGTTGTGTGCAAGAACACAAGGTTAACTTTAATTCCCTCTCAGTGTGTTTATATGAGTAAATGTGCTCGTGTTTGCCTTGGCTGTCACTGTATGCCCCAATAAAGTGCTGATGGGACAGGATGAGGGGACACAGGGTCCCAACAACAGGCCCCAGGGGCATTCAAGGACTTACATTCACTCTGAGCTAAAATGTAGAAGCTCTTGAGAAATGTTTTTACGCATCATCAGAGTATCAGGGCCAACTCAAAAACACTTAATGAGTAAAGTAATAATACCAGAATAAAGTGGTTATTTCTATGAAAGTAAAGTCTTAATTTAAGTGTCACGTTAGAGGGGAATATCAGAAGATCAGCCTGTGATCAGGAATGTGGAACATCTTGTGAAGTTATAATTTAGTATATTTTCTTTTGGATCTTTTTGAAAAGATTCATTGTAATATTACAGCTGTCTTCTCAAGTGCGACTATATTCTTCTAATATTACCACTTCATTCTCATATTCCAGGAATTAACAAGCCAACACTCTTACTTGTTCCCTGTTATTTTAAGTTCTCAGGCTGAGGTATAGAATTCAGGTCTTAATCAGTTTTTCTTTAAATGTATTAAATGATTGAAGGATAATACGACTTGTTAAACTATCTTTTTTGACTTGTTAAGTTGGATAAGGTGGAACGGTTGATAACTACCCGAGATGGAACCAGACACATTTGTTTGACTCACCAGGTTCTCCCGGAGACCCAGGCCCTCTCCGTTCGGTAGGGAGGACCTCCTGCGGGTCAGCGGGGTCCGGTTGGGTGTGCTGCTTCCTGCCGGTCTCCTTTTCACCAGCAGCACTTCACAGCAGGCCTGGTCCTCATTTAATGTGCTCTTCCCTGCATTGATCACTCTGAAAGGAGAGGAGATAACAGGACACACATATTCAAGCCATGGTTCATGTTAACACTAAAATCTTTAAGAAACTGGAGTCAATGGATCAAAAGCTCCAATACCTTCAATCATTTCAGCAGACGTTACGTGTGTACTATCTTCATGATATAAAGAGACCCTAAAAAGACCCTGAGGGATGAATGATTTCTGTGACATCATCTGTCATCTTCACTCACATCACCTCAAGTACAGCCCTCCATCAGAAACACAAACTGTTCAGCAGCAGCTGCGTCTTCATTTCAACTTTCCACAAAGTAACTTATCATCTTTGTGTTTATTAATGCAGAGACAGAATCTCCTGAGTGTCGAGGGCTGACAGAGTGACGCCCGCAGATACTCTGCAGGACTCTTGCTCAACGCGTCTGCTGGACACGTGACTGCTGCTTCAGCAGATATGCAGGCGATAGAAGATGACCTTTTGTCTAAATGTGATGGTTTTGCCTCCATGGCTGCTGTGAACAAAGTGAGATACGGTGAATGAAAGTCAGCAGATGTACACTGACTTTAAGTTCACCTTTTGATTTGAGATGTAGGCCAGAGGACATGAAGACATGAATACTGCATTATACAACACCTGGCAGATGCGAGCTGCGAGCTGCTGTAGTCATGGACAAGCACATGCTCCTCAACAATACTCCAGGCATTCTTAATTTAGCCGCACCGCAGGAGATGTTAACTCCACAGTGGCCCTATTAAAACTGTGCACAGAATATCTTATGAAATTAGAGCACTGTGAGTTAAATGATCAAGCTGCATGAGGGACGAAGTGTGAAAAACAAACAAGTATTTTTGTGGAAATTAGGTCAGTTTTTACTTCCTTGTGGAATTATACGACACAACAGACCGATTTGATTTCATAAATACATCACGATTGGCATCTATTCTTAACTGTCTGCAGAGACGAGCCATGATTACTTCCCTATGGGGGATCCTATATAAGTAATCCTAATTGGTCACAGGGATGAACACGCAGAGCAGAGATCGTCCGTCGACAGCTAAGAAAACACAATGGGTCGTCAAAACGACAGGATATTGACTGTGGAGGCCTGTACTCAGTGAGATTGATTTTAATTGGTGTCTTTCACAATGTGCTCTCCATGTCCCCCATGCTAAAGACTAATAATAACATACTCCCCTACTGTGTGTCAGTAAGAAAGGTTTCAATGGAATATTTACTTTCTCCTCACAGTGGATTTCTGTGTGTCATTTTCATTATAGTCCAGGCAATAGGTTCACATCCCATCACAGTGGTGCTGTAAAGTTGTTGGTGGTGCTGTGGTTAGCACTGTTATCTCGCAGCAATAAGGTTCTGATTCGAGCATCATCCTTCTGTGTGGAGATTACATGTTCTCCCCGCGTTTGAGTATGAACTGATTTTGATCTGTTTTATTGTACATTACTGCAGAATGTTATCCTCAGCACAACACATGTTGTTAGATGTCTATCTTTCCAGGTAACCATTGGTTTTAATTCACTTTTGTAATTAAACGTGAAAGACATTGAAACCTGCTGGAGATGGATCATTTATCATGGTTAACATTAAGTTAGCCTTAATTGTTGATGTTATTATTACAGAGAAGCTCCATTGTTTGATATCAGAGAATAAGCTTGCTACACAGGCTTTATTGTCAGAGTCAAGTCCTATAAGAAAGTCTATATGCTCTGAAACATGGTCAGCAGCACTGATCTAAAGTACACAGTGTATGTTTGTGAGATCTTTCTCTTTTCCTGAAATTCATATGACGAAAGGAGCCTATTAACCTCATGCGTTACAATGCGTGTCTGAGACCGAGCACTGAAGGGAATGACATCCGATTGTCCCTGGAAGATCACAAGATTCACAGCAGTTGAGCTTTCAATCTTCTTAACTTTGATATGAGACGAAAAGCCGTCCACACCCCGAGGCATGAGCTGTATCTGAGAGCAGGGCTGTCATATTCGGTTACCTCATTTCATTTCTTCACGTTTGAGACCATCACATGAACTTAATTACCCTGTCAGAGCTAGAGTCCACTGTGCTCCTGCTTTGCTTTTGTTTTTTTTTATTTTCTTAGTAACACTGCTTCAAAAGAATGAGGAACCTCCAGGTCATCTGAGGGATATTATTACATTATACACTTACATATACAAGTTCTGAATTATTTTCAGAGAATTGAATTCTCAGAAAATAATTCAGGGAACTCGTTAAAAAAGAAAACAGTCATTAGGTGTGGCCCTATATACAACAATACTTCTAAGAGAGTGATACTAGTTCATTCATATTCTTGTGCAACCAAAGCAAACATGACCAATACCAAGTTGTTGAAGAAAAAAAACTAACCCAAAGGCTATATGACTGCTACAGACACACTGTTCACATTACTTTGTAATTGTAGCTTTTTGTGTCAGCTATTGAATCACTTCATTACCCATAACTGAGTTCCTACACTCAGTTCCCATTTTCTTTAAACAGTTTGATCAAAAAAGAGTTCATTGAAGATCGTGATTAAAATAATCCTAAAAAGTGATTGCGGTGGTGCATTACACATTTTGTTAAACTGCTTAAGCCGTGCAATAAGAGAGCTCACAATGAATGCTGTTTGTGCTGTGCTGATGTAGCAGAGACGACACAAGAACATGTGCTCCGTCATGTGACTGAGCACTGGGAAGCTTTGCATGTATGAAGTGACGCTTGTGTGCTTCCACTCCACAGCTGAGGGTAACACTAACTTTATTAGTATCCTTAACAATGGAAAAGAATACATTAGAAACATTAGAGCACAAATCTCCTCCATGAACCAACAATCCCCTACATTCAATCAATTTTTTGGGTGAAACAATTACCTCCTTGGAAAGGTAATAAATATAGAAGGACAACTCACATATTTATGGTCTATTCATGGAATTAGATTCGATTTGTGAAACATGCATTCCCTGAATTCATTCACCGATACCAAACTGTTAAACACCCTGTACATCTCACCTCCTTGTCTCTGTTCCCTTCACAAAGATTTGCACACCACTTATGTCACCTTGCTGCCTTCAATGCAGACACAGCACCGACGTGCCCAAACACAATCACGTCTGCTGACCTGCAGCCAAAACACAGTATTTAGCTCACAGACGTATTGATTAAGCATTGATCGGACTGCTGCTGAGGTTGCAGGGGTATGTGTTATTGGTACTGAGTCAGTGGGAAACCTTTGTCACAACTTCTGCTGTGCTCTCCCAGTGTCACCACTCCACTCTGCCAAGACACAATTGGATTAGTTGAGGAAGAAGAAGAAAAAATGTGAAGCAGCTGAGGAAAAAAAACATGTGTTTGGACCATGTTTTTGTTACTCCACCAACAACTGGAATTATTTAACAATTCTCAATGAATCCTTTAGAAAAGAATTAGCTTTGGCAATATCATCCCACCACTGGACTAAAGGATCAGTGACTGGGTTTTATCCAAACTGTCTGTTTTGATTTATTCTTGTGGGCACAGTGTGTTGAAACCTACTTTTACCTAAAGTGAAGATAGATATAAAATGGGGGCCATTGTTGATTTTTGTGTCCCACATTCACTGATCTCATACAAAGAACTAAATAAGTACTTTCCATCCATCCAGCAACTCAACTACATTGAGCGAAAGGCTGGGCACACCCCTGAAAGCACGCCAGCGATTGCAGGGCCACTTCTGAATGAGGTCGGTGTGATCTGATCTCAAGATGCATTGAGGATACATTTGGGTGCACTCACACACGAACTCAGCGCTGTCCGACTGTATCACTCACTCAGGATGGATGCAGGGTTATCGAGTCATACAACCATTCACTCCTGCAAGAGTGTGCAATTTACCAAAGCTGTACGTTTTGGGACTGTGGGAGGAATCCATTAACAACGACCTAATAAACACGTCAATAGTGTCACCATTACAAGTATGTTATAAATATTGTAGAGTTTATATTTATGGAAGAGTTGTGTATATATTGGGAATCGGCATGGTTCGGTGAACCCCTCTGAATTTCCTAGAGAGAGTAAAACTGTGTGTACGCTGCTGAAGGTGACATCCGGAGCATCATCCCCTCTACTTTTAGAAAGAATAAGCAACATAAGAGAGCATGATGAGGGTCATTGCTGGAGAGGGCAGCTGCAGTAAATGTCGCCTGTCTACAAAAGCGAGGCCCGTACGTGTGCTGTAGATGGAGAAGAGAGGGTGAGCAATCGTCACTGATCCATTCAAATGATCATGCTCACTGGACCTGACAGTGCGCCCACTCAGAGAGACTCATGAAGCAGGGCTGCTCTTCCTGTAAGAGCAACACATTGACCCTGGATAACCCTGAGAGGCTCAGACAGGCCTGCTCACACAAAGACAGGGGTGTGAGGGAGGAAAGCACGAGACAGAGAAGGACTAAGCAGTTCATCCTGCACAATCTTTGAACATGGGTGAAATAGTCAGGATGTTTAAATAAGAAAGAAACTGAGTGTGATTGTAGTAAGCCCTTCAAGCCTTTAAGACAAATATGCAAGCATCCATTTTGTATTGTTCTTTTTCTAGTCACTAGACACAAATTGTATGTTAATCACTGTATGTTTTATCTAATAAACAGGTATGAACAGGACCAAACCTGCTCTGTGAGATTGTGGGACTTTAGGCACAAGCAGTGTTTGAGCTAAATTCTAATGTCTGCATGCTAACAAGCTAACAGCGATGTTTAGCCAGTATAATGTTTAGGCTCCAATGTGTAAATAAACTCACGTTTCAGCATATGTGTCAGAGGAAGAGTCATAAGGTTGCATCATCTGGGAATCACACATTTCTTTACAAGCTTGTGTGCCAAATCACAGTCAGGGAACCCTAAAGAAATGAGGGTTTATCCTCTGGGCACAGTGAAAATACTGTATGTATACATTTCCAAAGCAATCCAGTAGTTTTTTTAAATACTAATAATAATAAGATGTCCTCAGTGTATGTAAGAAGCAGAGACCCTATAGAGCTTGTTAGTAGTAAAACACTCAATCAATCTTAGAATTTAACGTCATAAAATGAAACTAAACTAATTTTCTGGACTATATCAAACAGAAATGCCAAATATATTTTGGTTCCAGCTTCAGAAAAGTTATTATTTTCTGCTTTAATTCAAAGCAAATTCAATATATATTAGGTTTAGACTACTGGCCAGACAAATCAATTCATTTAAAGACATCCCCTATAGGTCATTTCACATTCTTCTGTCACATTTGTTTTGATAAAACAATTAATATAAAAAATGGGTTATTTTAAACCCTAATCTCTGGTGCTAATGTATTACTCAGTCTTATATTTCTTAGGAACAAAGAACAAGCACCCGAGGGAGTGAGACTGGACTGTGTCCGATGTGTTTAAGTAAAACCCTCCTATCAGACACCCCTGGCCGACCTGACACGATAAAACCTTATTCAGAGCAAGACGGCTGAAGTTGAGACACTAGACGCAAAGCGATATGCATTCTTCCTGCACACAGCGATCTCACTGAACGTCTATTGGCTTGACGAGGAAACAAGCGCTCTGTCATGACCACTGATCAACAGCATGAAGATAAGAGTTTATAACGAGGGAAGAAACACAGATCAAACTCACCCTTCTTTGTGAAATTATGAATTGAGTGCGCTGCTGTGTCACACACTGTGTAGTCACGATCGACTCAAGACCTGAACTTTGACCTTTATAGTTCCAAGAGCACCTCAAAAATCACCCAGATATTTCACGCAGGGATGTATGAGAAGTAGGGATTGTGAATCTGTGGCCTCACGAGAGACACAATGACTGTGTTTACAATGGGCACCAATATTCTGATATTCACCCAATCAAGACAAAAGTCTAAATAAGACATATTAAACAGCATTTTCTGATTACCTTGACCTGAATGAGATCATACTCGTATTAAGCAATAATCAAATTTAGACATGTGGAGTATTCTGCCCTTAGTCGCATTATGTAGACATGTATGAGTATAGATCACATTTTAATGTCCTGTTTATCATATTTCTAAGTTGTGTCCTGTCAGACGTGAATGTCCCAGACATGAAAAGTAAACTCTTGTTTGTGTGAAAGTGTCTTTGCACACTGCTCTCAGCTGCATGCAAATTACGTGATTCAATACTCCTCTCTCCGCCCTAACCCAAATTTTCCGGAGTGGATGTGCATGTATGTGAGAATGCAAATGCAGGGCCCCTAGTAAAATGTCTGCAAAATGAGTGAGTCCATGTGAAAATGCAGGAATTGTGGCTCTTTCTGGCCCCTGATTTAGATCTAGATCCACCACTGTCCTGCCTCCTGCAGGCTCTACCCAGGAGCCGGAAATGTTCCTGTTGTTGTGAACACCTCTTACCCGCACAATCACCTTGCTTGTGATGCATCTATCTTGGGACTACAGATGTAAATTAGCATTCTTGCTAGAATCTGGCATGTTTACATGTAGTGTAAACTGATGGTCATTAATGTGGTCTGTCCCTATCAAATAACTAAATAAACAGTGCAAGTCTTCTGCTATTGTTTGCAGCTGACACACTCACATCACAGTTCATAACAACTTTTCATGAGCCAATGCACTAAGTCCTCTGACGGTAATACGCCCATATGTTAAAACAGGATTCAGGAAGATCCTGCACTGTGATATCAACAGTACAACAGGTGAATCTTATGGGTCCGGCTGCAGCTCTGCTCCCAGTGGGAGGATGAAAACAGTGTGTGACAAAGCAAACACTGACTGAGCAAATAATGAAAAAAGCTGCTGTTCAGTACGTCTCAGAAGGTTGTAATCAGGTTTTACTGGCTCTACAGACACATGCAGATTTGAAGAAAAGGTCTAGTGACTAGAATAGTATCTAGGTTATCTGATTGAGTAGTTTATTATTGATCTGATCATGTAACACTATCTTACACCATATTCTACAGTGAGTCTACACCAGTGACCTGATTATAAACAAATGACATCAGCTATGCCTTCACAGTAATGACGTCCTCCTATAAGGCCACTATAGATGATAGATGATCTGGTACATCATGGGAAACATGGGATGTTTATGTTGTAGAATACATAGGCCATCTGCTGCACCTTGGCTTTATTCTATTGTAATCCGGGCCACACATGGATCCTGCTGGAAGAAGACAGGAGAACAGCGGCTGGTGTTTGTTTACGCCCTGCTGACTGAGCTCTGGTCCAGGAAGGATGCGGTGGAAAAACATGGACGCACACAGGTCTACTCACTCTGCGTAGCCGGTGGACCACGGCAGCCGCTTGGTCTCCTTCAGGATGAGGATCGGTCTCGCGATGTGATCCGCCGAGCACTCGATCTCGTCCGGCGAGAGTCCCAGGAACTCCGGTCTGCTGTACGGGAACCGGAGCGGCAGATCCGAGCCTCCGCCGCCGCCTGGATGCTCTCCGTTGGTGCCACCGGCCATCACGCCTCCCATGAAGCTGGCCACCGCAGACTTCACCCGCGTGAGCATGGTCCAGAGTGGGTCCCGGCGAAGCGACTGCGTGAGGAGGAGGAGGAGGAGGAGGTGGAGGCGGAGTAGGAGGAGGAGGAGGAGGAAGATGCTCTCCGCGCTTGGCCGATCCCCGCAGCGGCGTAAAAGGTTGACACACACCGGCCGTGGAGACTCATTCAGTCCCTTGGTGAACACGGAACTAAAACACACACTGATAGAGAGAGAGAGAGGGGTAAAGAAAGAGAAAGAGAGAGAGAGGCTCCCTGGTCATGTGACTAACCAGTCGCTGCTGGTGGATTCCGTCGCACTGGTGAGCAGCTTAGTTGCACTGACTCTGCCGGAGGTCAGAGGTGAGTCAATCCCAGAGAGAAGGCTCCCTCCCTGGGCACGGTGCAGTGGGTGCTGACCCATGTTCGGAGGAGTGGACCCCTCATTCACTCAACACACATTCATCAATCAGACAATAATAATATCACCAATCTCTGTTGTGTTGACATCTATAAATATAAAGTAGATTCTGAACACCAATATGTAGGGTTAGGTGCTATAATTCAGTTTACTGCACAACAAACTGGGCTTGCTCTGTGATGAAGGTGACAAAATCCAAAAATGACAACAAAACATTGTTATTACATGTAACAAAGACATATGTATATGTTCTGTGGACTAAACTACAGGCTTTGCTCACCAAAAAGTCATTAGCATGAAGAAATGTTCAGCGTGTTATCTATAGAGTAATCATTCCTTTTTTATTTGTATAGTCCATATTCACACATCACAATTTGCATCATGGGGTTTAATAATCTGTACAACACGTGACATCATCTGACTTTAACCCTCAACGAGAGTGAGGGAAAGCTACAGAGAAAAACCTTTCTACAGAAGTGCAATATATGGTGTATAAAGCAGCATCAACAAAATAACAATATTTACAACCTTCATGAGAAAAGACAGTGTCCAGCATGAATGGAGAGGTGTTTCAATGTATTTATGCCAAAGGAATGTACGTCTGACAGAGACATAGTGCCATCACTGATATGTGGTGTCAAGTAGAAAACAGAGAAGTCCAATACCGGAAGTTTATAGAGAAGTAATTAGCATTTAGGGGAGATACTGCTGTGTAAAAAAAAAAAAGAAATAGAGAGAGAGAATGTGGAACCACAAACATAAGACATTTGATTGTAATTTTATGTGTCAGACTTTTGAAACATGTCACCAGTTTTACACCAAGTTTACAAGCAATTACTATACAATGACGAAATGTCGCAAATATAAAAACAAGTAGATGTTTACAGGCCGTCCCATAGAGGCTGGATAAACTATAATGCTGAGTGTAGCCACGCCTCATCATGCTTTCAAGACCTATAAGAAAGGATAGAGGACGGTTCTCTCTCTCTCTCTCTCTCTCACACACACACACAGACACACACACAGACAGTGTGAGGGCAGTCAGCTGACTGGCATGCTCACTACCTGATAAAACATCCATTGTAAATAAGAGGAACAGGAAGCTAAAGAACTGAGAAGAGGTCAAATAGGCAATTTATAACATGAAGCATAATCTGTCTCATATTAATAACATTAAGCAATAAATATAATTATGTTAAAGTAGATTTTAAGGAAAGGTCTGAGATGTTATACTGACTGTGAGGGCAGCTGTTCCTCAAAGTGAGTTCACTACTGACTAACACTGGACTTAAAAAGAGATATTATTGCAAATACCACACATCTGGAAGGTTTTATGAAATACCATGTGTACATTTGGATTGTTATTTTGTATTTCATGAAAAAAAACTTGTTCCGGTTCGTTCTGGTCTGGGTGCTGATTGAAATCTGATTAGCTGGGCGTTCAGCCAGCCCTCCAGGATGCGTGTGTCTAGACCTATGTGAACTTACGATGGCTGCATTTGGAGCCGTACACCTCACAACATGAGTTGTTATTCAGTAGTCTGCACATCAGTCGACTCACAGATCAGACTCTCAGGCCTCATACCACTGTTAAAAGCTGAAGTTGAAAATCATAACTCTGAGAAGTGATTCATTGTTCGACTTGCCTTGAAATTCATTCAAATCATTTAGTTGAAAAGGTCACTGGGAAGAAGAATCTTTTGGACTGTCTTCTTCTATCAGCAACACTCGAAACATATTTACTGAGTGCTGGCAGATGTCTGATCAGCCTTCAAACAGAAGAGCACATGTTTAGCATCATAATGATAAGCAGAAATAATATAATAAACCTATACATATCTTGTGATAATGTTTATATGTGCCCTCCTTGTGTTCTGCTTCAATTCCTCCACTCATGATTATTTTTTCACACAATATTGAAAACTCTGTGGTTTTCGTGGTCATGTTACACTTGAAGGACTTTGAAAAGGTTGTGGTGAGGATGAGACGAGATGAAACCCATGTTTAGTGCTTAATGCACCCATCCAATTCCAAAGATCTCCACTCTCCACGGAGATATGATGTTTTACTACTTCCTGCCCTGGAGCGAGGTGTTCCCAGAGAGAACGATAATAACATAATTTATAAGAGACCAGGCTGTACAAGTATAAATTTCTCCACATGTCCACATATACCTGTCCCAGAATGAATAGTTCGAGCCAAGGGTATAAAATACTGAGAATCACTAGGAACAGGAACAGTTTATCTCTTCATACCAAGAACCTTTTAGACCCAAATAACATTTAAATAACTGCATGAAGGTCCAGTGTGTAAGATTTAGGTGAAAAGGATCTATCGGTAGAAATTTATTGTAGAATAATCCTCATGATMTTTTCACTTGTTAATTTCATCTAAATTGTATGAATTGTAGTTTTCTTTACCTCAGAAAAAAACCCTTTATATTTAAATACTTTATATTTACATCGAGGGACCCTCTCTACAGAGGCCACTATGTTTTTTACATTAGTCCAAACTGGACAAACTAAACACCTCTTGAGTTTTTATGACAACTGAAGTTAACTACTTATTTATGTATATAAATATATGTCTATAAATAAACTTTGACTTGACTAAGAAAGAGCCCATATACAGTATGTGTATTGTTTCATGTGTGATCTTTATTTATCTGTAGAATATTTCCATATTCTTAATCAATCAAGTTGAAATGTGTGTAACATGGCTTTCTGAAGACAAGCTCATACAGTCCCTAATAACAACTCATTCATTATTACCTTCAACCATACACATAAGATTAAAACTGTGAGCTCAGTCATTACACAGAATGTCAGTGAAAACGAATGAACTCCAGTGAAAGTGGAGTCACCAAATTGGCAGAACAGACCAGATCAATAATTCATGAATTTGCCAGAAGAGAAGTCTGCTGACCTAATTACAAACACACCCAGCCAGTGTGAGTGTCGGGATGCAGGGTGTGATATACTCTACCTCAGGATACACATCCAGAGTCACAATGAACTGGAGCAGAATGTGTCTCTGGTCTACAATACAGGGATCAAGATTTTACATGTATAAACTATACATGCGTCACCAACATTAAATATATACAATAGTATAAGATGGATTACAGTTAATATAAATATACGTTAGAGTCAGTCATTGTAGATCTTTGCCGACTGGTGACATGAACAATTTGAAAAGGTCCAGTTTTAATGATTTTTAAGTATTTCCTATCTGAGAAGAAGCATTTGGACCCAGGTGTATTTTTAGTCTGAGGCTCTTTTGAATTTTCAGTTGTGGCACCAGTGTCGGGCAAAGTCTCTTCCTGTTTCAATATGACTGGGCCTCTTTGCAGAAAGCAAAGTCCATAAAGAAACGATTCTCCCAGTTTGATGTGGAACAACATGACCGACCTGCAGAGAGACCTGACCTTGTCCCTGAGTGGAAAAACTGGAATAACTCCAAGTTTTGGAACAGACTGTTGTAGATATCAGAGAAGCTTCAGTGAACGTCTTTGAAAGGAAACTTAAAGCATTTGTCTTTGCTTCAGCCTTTAAGTAGTTCTGCACTCCTACTCTTTATCCTTTCTTTTTTAATGCATTTCTATAATTGCATTTTATTCAATTTTATTCAGTTTTCTTTTAAATGTAATTTTAACCTGTTTCTTAAAATCTGTTGTGTTTTGATTTGTATCTATACAGTATGTAAAGCACTTTGAGCTGCATTTCTTGTATGAAAGGTGCTATACATATAAAGTAATTATTATTATTTTAGATTTTAGATTGTTGTTTCATTTTTAATCCAGTGTGGATTAGTTGGTATACATGAAACTCTTAATGAAAGTATTTAAAAAAAATTTTTTAGGAATACAGTATATCATCATCATCATGTTTGAGACATATCAAGTTGACAGGTTACATATTTTGTTTTAGCATTAATCAGTAATGACAGATTACTAGTATTTACTGTAATGAATTCTACTGAAAGGTGTTTCTGTTCTCTCTCGGCTGCTCCTGTTTTACTCAGCGCAGGATTATGAGTTGATGACAGGGTCAAGATGATTTGAAGAATGTAATACCAGGCTGTGTGTGTGTGTGTGTGTGTGTGTGTGTGTGTGTGTGTGTGTGTGTGTGTGTGTAATTAGTGTGCTGACTGACAGATGGACACAGACGGCCGCCCACACACACTCGTAGCAGAGGATAATCTGGAGGTGGTGAAGTCTCTGGCTTCCGTTTATCTGTGAGAGAGACTGAGAGACAGTCAGTACAACATACATCTGTATTTTCACTTCAGGTTTTCTCTAAAATTCTGACGCCTGACAGTTCTTACACTGATTGTGTTCAGCTGATAGGAGAAACATCTGTGATTCAACAATTTATACAACTATTATTTGTGCTAGTACTACTACTACAGATACTGCTACTACCAGTGTTACTGTACAGCCATAACCACTATACCTACCAAACTATTTCTAAAATGTAATACTAGTTCCTATAACCTAAACAACTACTTCCACAATATGTCATGGGACCACATATAAAATTATAAAGAAAATGAGTTCCCTTTTTGTGTGTTATTGTCTTTTGTCTTGTGAGATATAGGAAAAAGACAGGGAAATGAAAAAGCAAATCAGAATCAAATCTAGACTTTATGGCATTTTCGTTATTTGATTTCTTTGACTTTGTCCATGTAACATAATGTTATTTGAAAGTTAATAGATGTACATATTTGTTATGATTTACTCTCATTTCTGTTGGTTTTATGTGTAGTCACACAGTGCATAATATTCTTACTATACTTGTCATGACATGAAAAAACTATATATCTATAACATACATAGAACCTTCATTTTATTTGTTATCAATTAGCAATGATATCTTTTGCACCCTCTATTGGTAGGTAGTGCTAAATTGACTGATATTTAGGTGTGTTAGTCTCTGACCAGCAGGTGTCACCAGTGCACTGAGAATCCTTCAGGAGAACCAGGTTGTGTTTAGTACTAATTGAGCATGAACGATATTAAGGGCTATTTCCCCCGAGAGACACAATATGTAATA